ACAAAAGTCCGCATAGTCAAAGCAATGGTATTCCCAGTAGTCATGTATGGCTGCGAGAGTTGGACTATAAGGAAGGCCGAGCGCCGAAGAATAGATGCTTTTGAACTATGGTGCTGGAGAAGACTCTTGAGAGTCCCCTGGACTGCAAGGAGATCAAATCAGTCAATCCTAAAAGAAATCAACCCTGACTGTTCCCTGGAAGGCCAGATAATGAAACTGAAGCTCAAATACTTTGGCCACCCAATGAGAAGGGAGCACTCCCTGGAGAAGACCCTGATGCTGGGAAAGATTGAAGGTCAAAGAAGACGGGGGCGGCAAAGGATGAGATGGTTAGACAGTGTCATCGATGCAACGAACATGAAGTTGAGCAAACTTCAGAGGATGGCGGAAGACCGGAAGGCCTGGTGTGATCTGGTCCATGGGGTCGTGAAGAGTCGGACTCGACTGTGCGACTGAACAACAAATATATCTAATTCCCAACATGGCCCCCTGCATGCAGATACTTATTTCCACAGATTGGGGGCACATGGAGGGAAAAGAGATTATCCTGCACATTTGGGGCACTCCCCAGGTGTGCAGAAAAATCTAAGAACTTTTTAAAAGGATACGGGGGATACTTAAGTCCCCCCAAAAGTGCAACAGCCTTTTCTGCTCATGCACAGAGAACGGACTTACCAACAACGAGGCGCTTTCTCTCCTCTTCTTCCCTCTCTCCCCTTCGAAAGTGACTGTTCTGAGCACGTGACTGCCCTTAGCAACGGCTTTCCTAGCAACAAGGCCTTCGCAGGCTTTTCCGCTTTTGGGAAGCTGGGAGCAAAGAGGGACGGAAAGCGGCGGGTGGCTTTTACGGCTGTGCCTGCGCTGGCTCGGCTTCCCAGGCACGCTCACCGCTGCCGGGCTCAAAGTTAGGGGAAAAGGAGGGGAGAAAGAAGGGGTCATTGACTTGGGGGGGGGGAGAAAGGAAAAGATGGGGTTATTTGCTGGGGGGGGAGAAAGAAGGGGGATGGCTTGCAGGGAGAGAGGGAGATCGACTTGGTGGAGGGTTGTAAAGAAAAAGGAGGGATTGGTTTGGGGGGAGAAAGAAAGGGGGAGAGGGAAGCCAAGGCGGGGGGATGCCTCCTCCACGAACGTTTCTTGCGGTTGCGGGTCCAGCCTTGTGTATTCTATGAACGGAGAGCCGGAAATCCTTTCCATCCTTGTCTTGAGACCGGGGGGGCCCAGCCCACGCATCGCTCCTGACCCGCTCCCTTCTCTCCCTCCCCAGGGAACAACATGTTGCTGGTGGGGGTCCACGGCCCCAAGACCCCCTGCGAGGAGATCGTGGTGAAGCACCTGGGCAACCGCCTCTACAACGTCACCTACCTGCTGAAGGACAGAGGGGACTACGTGCTGGTGGTGAAGTGGGGGGACGAGCACATCCCCGGCAGCCCCTTCCACATCTCCGTGCCTTAAGCCCCACCCCCCCTCCCGCCTCGTCATCGCACCGCCCCTCCCGAGGCCCCCCGCTCTGTAGCGCCACTGATGCCTCCCACCGAAGACGCCGCCTCTCGGCTGGGGCCGCGTGTTTGCGTGCCAGTGAGGCTGGCGATGGGGGTGGGGGGGGAACCAGGTTACCCTTAAAGTAAGCAAAGGGGTGGGTGGGTCAGAATTTCCTGTGGATCTGTTTACATGCCGCCGCACTAACTCCCCCCACCCAGTTGGTCAGGGACTTCCTCTCCTCCCCTCGGAAGGGGAGGGGCAGGGGTGACCACACACTTCTTTCCTTGCCAAAGCACTGCCTTTCGTGCCCGTGGGACTGAATCTATGTGCCCCCCCCCCCCCCCCCCC